ATATAAAAGAAGAGAGAAATAAGTAAATGACTGCTACGAAGTATATGAGAATTTTTAACAAAATTCAATGGTTATTTTTTTTTATTCGAGCTTTCAGTGAAATTCTTTCACTTTAACACTGGATATAAAAGAATTTTCGTACTGTTAACGAATCAAAATCATTCATGTCAATTTTATGTTTTCATCAAAGTACACAAATCGTAAAAAAAAGTTGCTCGATTTTAGAAATGAAACCATTGTCAAAGACCGGAACCGGGACCGGGACTAAAAAAAGTGATTTTGCAGTTCCCTAATGATAAGCTGCAGCACTTTGTCCCATCTGACTATAATAGCATAATAACGCTAAGTCTACATTCCTGTCTTCAAGAAAATTCATTTGCTTGAAATACTTGTTGCAATATTATAAGCTGAAATTTGTGGATGCGTGTGTGTGTGTGTAGCATCCTACGTGAGTTTACACGATGTACATTTTCTAATGTTTCTGGTTCGAATTTGACGATGTTTGAGATTAACTTTATTTGTATAATAAAGTATATATCAAGACGGTTGTTTATTTGTTGATATTTCATACTTTAGAAGGCAACATTCTCAAGTAGTTTTTAACGTTTATGATCGACGTCATTTATTTAAAATAATGCATAATTATTGAGTTCTGGCATGGTGATTTGTTATTAACTGATAGAAATTGTATATAATTATCGAGTAAGTCTATTTGTTTTTTTCCAATAATTATCAAAACATATCTCAAATGGAATCAATATGTTACTGATAAACTTGATACTGAAGAAGAAATTTGTCAATTTTGTATATAAATCGATGTTCATTTGTTTTTCTAATTACAGAATGATAAAAAACCAAATCTTATTTTCTCTATCAACTTCCGAAATGTTTTCCAGAAACTAATTAACATCTACAAATATATTTACTCATTATTAGTCGGATTCGTCATGAGGACATCAAATCTACTATAAAAAAAAACTGATTCTCAAGTTCGAATACAGTGAACCCTCTATTGATGAACACTTTCCTCCCATATATTAATTTAGTATATATATTTCTTCTTATTTCTGTTACTTTTCGATGAATAATCAAGGAATCAGTCGTATAGTTTCCTGTAGTCGAATACCTCGTATAAAATAGTCAATGATATGAATACAATTGTATGGTTTTTTTTTCTCATGATACTTAGGATAATACAATTCCTGATTTATATTTAACATGAGTCCATCGAAAAATATTTTTCGTTCAAGTAGATCTGTCTATAATGATACATTTTGCAATAAGTACCCAACATAATTATGTACCATTTGCACGAAAATGATAGATAAAAAAAACTTGAGAAGCATTATTGTCAAATAGTTAATAAAAATATTTGCAAAGATAGCTTATCGATCACGTCATGTATAAATTATAACATCAAGAATGTTTTTATGACGTAAACAATATTTAAACTTTCGATTTAAGCAATTGTATTGCGCATAAGAATAAATTTAGAATGGCCATATTTTCATCGAAATCGAAAGTATTTATTACAAAATACTTAATATTGATAATCATTTTTTTAGTTATTAAATAGTCTTTCAAATAAATGTGAAATCTTCTATCAATTCTTATTGATTAACTTGACCAATATTCAGTAAAAATTTATGTTAAACATGACTTAATAATCGTGAATAGAACTATCATCACGAGAAAACATCCTAAATAGTTTAGGGATTATCAAACACACAAAAATTAGACATAGTCTAAAAAATAATAATTTTTCAAGGTCAGAAGCAAGAAAATATAACTTCAATTTTTTATGGCTTGAATGTAAATTCGAAAGAGTAAATCATAAAATGGTTGAAAATAGCATGAAATAATTTTCTCCTATCGGAGACTGTTACCTTGAAATAATGTAATTTCAATAAAATGAATTTTTTTCTCAATCATCTCAAAACGTATAAAATATTTTTTATCATTCAATGACATCCGATACTTCGAATATTTCTTATTTTTCTGATCACAAAAATAACAATAAGATAAAACTTAGATTGTTCGAAAGTAAAAATTGTTTTTAAACAAAATAGAAAAAATTAAATTAAAATAAAAACTAATCATTATTCTAAATTTTACTGTCATTGAAACGTAATCGTAGTTCGATGAAAAATACATAAACAATTGAGTTAATTAATTTATATGACTAAAATGAGAACTATGATCTTTCTCTTTTCAATATTAGTTCTACAAAAATATTTTGATAAATTCTCATATTTATCAAAAGACTACTTATTATGGAAATAAAAGACAATGATGAAGATTTTTCATCCATTGAAAGGATTATAAAAATTTTAATTAGTTTTTCTAGAACTCGCTGAGATTGAAAAAGAATGTTGTTTTACAAATCTTTATAACGCAACTAAATAGTAATGTCATTTACATTTTCTCTTTTAAGCGTTATTCTTATAGTACGATCAAGGTTTAAATAAAAACATCAACTAAATTTGTCTATAAAATATGCTTGTAATATTTTAATCTACTTAGCTCAGTTATACGTGCATTATTCATTTTTTTTTTAGGCACATAATTAACATATGATTATCGTACATAAATACACGAATAATAATAAGACATTGACAAGATCATATTCCAAGTTTCATTTTTTTTTTTTTTTTTTCATCTTTCAAAAGTACAACTATAAATATTTTTAAATCAAGAAAAAGACATGAAATTTTGATCATTTTGGTTTATTAATTAGTTGACATGATCTTAATTAGCAACGGCATACAATTTAATAGATATATATATATATATGTATATAGATAATGAACACAAGACTCTGTACAAACTGTTCACTCTCTTCATTAGTTCTTGTTTTGTTTTATGCATATTTGAATGATAAATATTATCAAATAAAATATGTTCTTAAATTGAAATAATAACTTATAATTATTATGTATACATAAGTTCAGCTGCACCAGATAATGATTTTGGTAAATAAAGAAAATTGTCAAGATAAGCAGCTAATTCTTCAACATTGCATGAATTAGCTGTTGGCCGTCGTGTATCAACAATCGTACATGATAATTGAGATTGTGATGTTGTTGGTGATGATAATGAATTATCAATATTTGATTCTTCTTCAACAATAGCTGGTAATATCGATTTCGTACGAAATAAAGTTAACGTTGTTGGTGATGAATATCGAATATGATGTGATCGAATATTTGATGATAGATGTGAATTACGACGAGATTGAGGAAAATGACATGTTGATAAAGAACGAAATCGATTAAGTAATGATGGAGATGAAAGAGAAAAACGCATTGAAAATGTTCGACGTGTATATGGAACTAATGAACGACAAGATACTTTTTCATGAATATTATTATTATCATCATCATCATCATAATCTCCTTCTTCTTGAATTTTTGATATTGATGATGAATTTAAACGTTTAAGACGAGACGAACGAAATGCTTTTACTTGACAAGAAGGAACTGAACGAAATCGTAATGATAAATTAGATGATTTATATGAAGATCTAAAGATTTTTTTTTTGTTTTTTAATACTCTTATATTAATCAATAAATAGAAGAAAATTTATTTTACCCTTGAACACAACCACCAAATGTACTTTCATCAATTAAATTACATAATTGATCAATATCAGATATTGGAGAAGTTTTATTTATTGTTTCATTTTTTGTTTGTTCCACTGGTTCTCG